CCTACTAACAACTGTGGGTGTTAACCTTGATGCATAAAGACTTGTGTATAGGCAAAAAAATTTATTTCACATTTAATAGATTTCAAACAAAAACGAATTTGAATCCTTATCTGTATGCTTATATTACCCATCCATGCATGACAAAGCAATTAAAGAAGGTTATTGATGGAACATTTATTGTTATTGGAATTGATCATATGACATAATTCCTAAATTAATGGTGAAAAATTATATTCCATATTACGTTTGACATCATAGTTATTGAACTAAAGTTGGAAGATCATAACCTATTAAATTAATTTATGTGGTATTGATTTCTCAACAAAGTTATAATGGTAGATAGAGAGGATTTTGGGATAGAAGATTAAGATATTGGGAAAGAGACTTTAATGATTTTTTCTTTCTTCATTTTGATGGACGAGGACTATTGAAAAGCGGTGTTTTAAAATTCACATCGATTATCGATTCGGTCGAGGTATTGAGTCATTGGTTCTACCGGATATACTATTCACATATTAAAATATTATTTATAATAATATGAAAAAAGTGAGTGGTAATAAATGCTATAAGTGAAAGAAGAATATTATCTCTATATACAACAGAAAGTGGCAACATTATATTTTTTTATCTTGACAGTTTATATAATTTTCAATTTTTTAATCAAATTCTCATACAGCTAATTGGAATGCATAAATTGGCGCATTCCATTATCTCTTGTGAGTCCAAACCTGTCAAGGAAGTATAAGAAATTTGTGAATCAATGTTAAAAGTGGATTTCGCGAATATCAACGACCATAACAAGCTGGTTAAAAAGTGAGATAGAATAGATCATCATCTTCAGGATTTTATGTATTTTGAGACGATATAGAGCAAATGTCAGATAAAAAATTACTGCACTATAAATATTCCTTTATAAATATAAAGGCATAACCGATGAAAATAATAATACCAATTATCCAAATGCTTTTATAAAATTTAGATTCTTTTAATTACAGAATATATTAATAGGAAGAAAATAATGTATGCACATCTGCGGAGGGATAAAAAGTTGGCTATTATACATAGTCCCAACTAGAGCGTTGTTTCTTTTTTAATTTTTTAAGTTGAAAAATCAAATTATTTTTAGGATCTTCCTTCAGTTTCTGATTCATGATCCAGGTCCAGTTTGTTTAAGATTCCCCCACCTCTTTTGTTTAAATAAGAAGCAAACTTAAAAAAAAAATGGGTTAGTTTTTCAAAAAGAAGGGTCAACCGGGTTTCATTTAACTCACCGAGTCATCGAAACTCAGCCGGATCAACGGGTCTAAACCAAGTTAAGTGCATGACTAGTCCAAATAGTCACCCGAATCAGTTCCCTCACCGGGTCACCGAAACCCGGATCTATCCGAGTTTTAAAATACTATTGAACAGGGTATAAAATCATGATAATGTTTGCTTCAAATGAACAAAGATGAGATAAATATATAAATTCAAATTAACAAAAATAAGATAAGAGATAAATGGATGAGATAAATATATAAATGTGGGTCTTCAAGGTTGTTACATTCCACTGCCGTTCAAATAAACCTAGTCCATGAGGTCGTGTTGCATTGGTTATAATCATCGAGCAATAATGCCTTAACCTCCAACTTCAGTCTAGACGAAAAGTTTGCTAATAACCTTCCTAACAAAGTAAAAGCATGAAATGGACCAATTTAATACCCTGAAATCGTTTTCTCAAAGCACAGATTTATTTTTCTATTGTAGATGCCTTGTTGCTTTTTATAAAATAAAATTAAAATTAACAAAATCAGAATCTGTCTGAGTTATATTTTTTCTTTTATTTTGTTATGTGAAAGATTTTGTGAAAGTGTGAAATCAGAATAAGATAAGAGATAAATGAATAAGTGAAAAATTGTGAAGTGGGTTTTCTTGTTGGCTATATCCTCTTTGTGTAGGAATGAAAGAATAGTTAGTGTGAGAGAGAGAGAGTGGACAACCTTAGAAACAAAAAAACAAAAAATCTGGTTAGGTGAGAAATATTGAGAAAATTATAAGGTACTTTCGGGTCTTGGTATAAATATATGGTTAAATAGGTGTAGACTTTTAATTATAGTTATTTTATAGGAAAATTATTTGTACTTTTAAATGATATAGTATTATGTCATTTTAACTAAAATGGTGGAGTTTTATTTAATATTTCAATTAAATAAAAATTTATCAATAACTTCTCACTTTCTCCTATTATGATCTTTTATTGTGTAAGTGTCTCTTTCATCATAAAATACAGTAATTTTAGTTAAAATAACATAATATTATGTACTTTGAAAGGATAAATATTTTCTTTCTTATTTTATTGTATAAGATAAATCATATAATTTCATAGTTAAAAATTATATAAATATTATGTGAACTAAAGAGCTACATTTATTATTTTATCTCATTTTAATTTTTCTCTTCATCGATCATACCGGAATTATTATAATAACACAATTAAATTTTTATTCCCCTACTATTACCCCATAATTTAACGGTCTTGAGTATAATTTTTATGGTCTCATATGAAGTATTATTATACTCTTTACATGTAAAGTTAATCCATCATTGCTTGTGGATAATTCACATGTACTTCAAGTGAAATTATCAATGAAATTGAAAACATTAGGAAAGAATCCTCTGAATTATGTGGTGGGGACCAAGATGTTATTTTTGTTTAAAAAAATGTTAACTAGTGGTGGGCCATATTAGAGACCAATTAATTCCAACGAAGGAGGAAACCAGGTGCATATAGAGTGGCTGAAACTTAAGGTGAGAGTATCAGAGACGTTTGAGCAAGTAGTGGAAGCTGAGGTGTATGTGGGAACCACATTGTGGATGGTTCCGTGGGTTACATGGCAAATGCGGCGAGACGCAGCATCGCAGGAGTAAAAAGAAAAGAAAAGAAAAGCCAAGCCAATCTTGTGCACTTGCGTTGCGTTCTTCCTTTCCATTCAACTCAACCCACAAATGGGTTTTGTTTTACTTTCTTTTCTCCGCATTTTCTACCCAATATCCCAAAAAAAATATTGTAATGATTTTGGCTTTGTGACGATGAAGTGGCTCCCACTCGCTTCCCTTAGGACTAGGAGGTGAAAACCAAAGCAAGCGTGAGTGGAAGATATCGATTCAAAGTTTATAGTGGAGAAGAAAGGTTAAAAATGAAAATTTAAATTAGATGCTCAACTTTTTACACTGTTATCAATTTATAATAAATTTAACATTCAACTTGTTAAAGTTTTTTACTCACTATAATAAAAAATGATAATTAATATCATGAAGTTTTTATAATGTTATAATTTTTTTACTCGGGTTTAATTGTGTTTGAGATTTGTGACTCTATGAGAAGCTATAGAAACATGTTTACAAAATCTTTATTCATATTATTAACGATAAAATGTTTATTGATATTAGAAGAGAGTTACTTCGAACAAAAGTATAATTAAAGACACAAAGTCAGGTATATAATTTGACACAAACCTTTCACTAGTTCATCAAAGATAAATATCATAACAAGTAAATTATAAAAATTAATCATTTGTGGAAAACAGATATGCTTATCTTAGTGAGTTAAAATCATAAAGACTAAAACATGAATGGATAAAAAAATATAAAAACTTATTTCTTAACTGTATATGTTTTTATACAAATATAAGAATCGATACTTAAAAATTAATTATAAAGACTAAATTTTAAATGAATAAAAAAATTAAAAATTTAAACCATATTTAAAATACGCCTTTTAAATATAGATAAAATAGTGCTAAAAATTTTAATATATAGAAGAGTAAGAATACTATTACAAGATAACAATACAAACAAATGGAAATTTTTTTTTGGCTGATATGGCCTTTGTAGGAAAAAAATATATATTTAAAATATAAATATACGTAAGTAATTTGAGTATATTTTTAAAAAAATATAAATAGAAAAATAATATTTAAAATAAAAAATATTTATATTTAATTTTAAAAATTACATTTGAAATTTAAAAAAAAAAAATAGATGTATTGACTTTTAAAAAAGAAAAATTTTAATTAAATATATAAAGGTGATGTCATAAGAAATTTTTATATTACTACGGTACTAGTAGTCTAGTACAGTCGACAAGTACGAATAAGACAACACGAGGAAGACAGCTAAAACTGGAAGCTGACGCTAGCCGTATACTTTGGCTTCGTCTACTGGTGGAGGAGAGATATGCATCTACGCAAGAGGCGAAACGAGCTTTTATTTGTAGGCCCTTAAATTATTAAACATTTAAATTATAAATTCTCTAACCCCTTTCGTTGATTCCATCTCCTCCTATGTACACGCCTCTTTGCATTCTCCAAAAGTCACCCCGTTATTGTTAGCTTCTTCATTCTCTCTCTTTCTGTCCCTGTCTTCCCACTATTATTAGTCATTTACCCAGACAAATTATCTAACTAGTTTCTTCACTGTCTCCACATACCTCCATACACGAGGATCCAAGGCTATCTATCATATATTTAAGGTAAAATGTGAGTTTTATTTCATTAATTTCACTGTTCTGAAGCTGGAATTATCCGAAATTGATAGCATACCACAAACACAAAGGTTGTTCGGTGTTCCAATAAGCTGCTCCTTCTCACCCTACTAGCTACTACTGTAATGTATGCAAGTCAAATATTGTTCGGAATGGCTGAATCCTCGTGAAAGCTTCAAATAGAACGTCTACGATCAAGGTCATATTAACAATTTCTAATTTGATTTTACCTAAGGTATAACAATAACCGATTGATCATTAATCAATTTCTGAGATTAGTCCAAAAAAATTTTCGTATCATTTTATCAATTTATATGAAAGGAACACCACTTCAACCACATCATTTTATTTTGAAAGCCTTCAATTTATTATTTACAATTACAAAATTACAGCAACTGAGTATTCAACAAACTCTCAGATTCATAAATTGTAGTAATTAAAATGAAAACAACAATTAAAAACAAAAGAAATATCCAGTCATTATTTTTATTTAATATTCATGTTGCAGGGTCACAGGATTGATTACATTACATGTTTCATTTTTGGCAAGGGTAAAATTAAAAAAGAAACTAAATTAAACAACACAAAAACAAAAAGGAGAAAGGATCACCGACGAACCCTCATCTTTCTCTCTCTGTAGAGAAATCCTGTGCCGGTAGTAACTCACAAAAACTCGCTGGACTTCTAAGTCCAGGAAAAAAAAAAAAACCCTTTTCTTCAAAATGAGTAACCAAATAGAGAAATATTACACCATAAGAGACAACACGTGCGTGACCCGTTAAATTGATTCACAAAAAACATGAACCTCAGAGACACACGCAAGAGAAAGAGTCCTCAAATGAAAAGGTTGAGAACTTTCCGGTCTCCGATCCCGCTTTCCAAGCACGCCGTCGTCGTCACGGATTCCTCCGACGTCATCGACGGCGATCCCGGCCGGCGGTTCTCCGAAACTTTCTGCAAAAAAATCGGCGTCAGTCGGAGATCAAGATTGGTCGCCGCCTGAAGCTTCGACAACTCCTCCGGTCGCTTGCGTTTTCCTCCGGCAGAGACCTTATTACTATTATTATTAGATCGCGAGTTCGTGAACCGGAAATTCGGGTTCGGATCTCGGATCCTCCAAATGTCCGTGCAGGCGACTTCAACCTCCGACGCCTCGTCGGTGACCGCAGCAGGAGAATCCAGACCGATAAGCTCCGGCATGTGCTTCAACGTGCCGCCGCGGAGCACCGTCTCCACCGCCGCCTGGCACACGTGCCAGTTTCCGGTCCACAAAAGTCCAACGGCTCCGTTCACCGGATTCACCGTTCTTCCGCACGCTTCGAACAGCAGAGACTGAAACAAAGCTGCATATACAGCACGCAAAATAAAATAAAAAATCATTAGTTCAGAACATTCTGGAAGGAGCGAGAAATAGAGAGAGAGAGAAGTTAGGCTACGAATTAAATTACAAGGTCTTTGGGTTTCGGGGACATTAGAAATGAAGGACATGAGGCCAGCACGACCAAAGAATTTGGCTACGAAAACGGTTGCGTGGCCTTGAGCTTCTGGGCTTTCGATCCATTGCAAACAAGGGCGCAAAATACATGATTCGCTGCAACCCTTTCTAAGAACTCGACAACCGTTGCAACTCATGCCTTTTTTTGGTTATAACAACCTCAAATTAATTAAATCGTGTTGTGTTTTTTAAAGTTTTAATTACACCCTCACATGAACAGGAATAACAGGGAAGAGGAAAGAGAGACTAAGGTTGCTTTGTTTGGTAACAAGGAATAATGGAAATTTGGGTAAACAGAGACACGAATCAGAGAGGATGAGAGAATGAAAATTGAGGTGCAGCTTGGATATAAATAAAGGGAATGAAGAGTATATGAGTTGGGAGAGGTTGGGTTGGTTTAACTATGGTTGGGTTGGGTTGGGTTAGGTTAGTGTCGAAAGTGGATATAAGATATATGTGAGGGAGCGTGAGTGTGTTTCTGCGGGCACTGCTACTTCATGTTTGTATGGAAGGGTGAGATTCCAAGGTCTTGGGCGTGAGCGGCTCCGTGTTTCCGCGCATGGATGTTCCTCAACCGTTGGATTCTTTTTATTTTGATGGCTGTCTTTTCTTTTTATATTTTTTCTCTCTGCAGTTGTATTCGTTTGATCATTGTAATATAACAGGATAAAATTCATTGAATTTCGTACTAGTGGTGGGGTCTCTTTCTTTTTCTTTTTATTCGTCTTTTTTATTTTTGTACAAAATTAATATACGTTGGAATTACCAAATGGGGCTTGTAAGATGGTGGGTATTACCATTGAGTCATTGACCATGGCATTGGCGTGCACAGCTGTATAAGTTTCAACTTTCAAGAAATATTAATAAAATTCAGCATCAGACGCGACGCAAGGCTGCAATCACCAAAAGAAAGGATGAATATCATAAAGTAATTATTTAATTAATGTTATTAATTAAATTAAATATAATATTTTTATTTAAAATATTAATAAAAAATAGTAAAATACCTTTGATTTTTATATTTATTTTTTATTTATTAACTAATATACTAATAAAACTTGTTAATAAAAATTTCTTGTAAAATTGGTGGAATACCTAAAAAGATATAGTATTTAATTTAAGGCACTAATGATTGAGAACTTGGCGTAGGATCAAGAAACAAATAACTATTGTTTTGCCTAGCAATTGGGACATTTAAATTACATGAAAGACAAATAATTTTGGTTTCTTTTATTCCCATCACTTTCAAGCGACATTCGAGCGCACTCGGATTTCGCTCCAACTTGTCCATATACTTTTTGAGAAATTATTGCTTAAATTTAGTTTACATTTTAAGTAAATTAAACATTTATATGTTATTTTATATAAAATAATTATATTAAAATCTGTGCGAAATAATTACTGTATTTTCAAAATAATAATAAATATGTAATAAATTTTCAAATGTAAAAAATAATTGTAAGGTGACCAAATATCACAAACATAGGGGTTATAGTGATTGGTTCAAGAAACTTGACAGATAATAAAAAGTCTTAAGTAATATGTTGAAAAATTGGATGTAGAGGTGACTAAACTAAGATAAATTTTATTTGCAATATCTTATCCTTAAACTATTAATATTTTATTGTTGTATTTGAGATCATTTACTTTTGCATTATTATGTTTCGAGGCCATATATTGCACATTCATTTAAATACAATTATTTTAAATCAAAGATGCTTGAAAATTGCATTTTATTTATGAAAAGACACAATTTGTAAAAAGATTTTCAAACTCAATTTAAGTTGTTAAAGCCACTCGTACAACATATTTAACTATTTAATCTCTTACATATATTGATATAATCATGATTTTAAATTATAAATTTACAAGTAATCTCATTTAAATTTAAATTTAAGGGGCTAGTTATTGTTGGGGTGGTTCCTTATTAATGCTTGCATGCACCTCGTTAAATGGTGCAGGATTCAAGGCAGCCCAACCACGTCAACCATCTCAACCATTATATAAGATTCTAGAAGGAAGGTGGAGGGTTTTTTCCTCCTCTATGTATGGGTTAGAGATTTTGAAAAAGCTTAGAGCTGAGAATCTGAAAGCACATCTAGAAAGAAGTTTGAAGAGTAGCTTCTCTAGAGATGTTTGAGATTACCACCATATTTGATGAATTTTGATTGTACCTCTAGTACAGATAGGGAAGTCTGACTCTTTTGTAATCTTTCTTATTCACAGTGAAAGATTTTTTGGATTAATGTCATGTGATATTTACTTTTTCACATTAAAGAATTTTTTCACGTTAAAATTTGACGGTATCTCTTTGTCTCTCTCTTTTTGTATTTTCAGTTTTTCGGTTGCGTGTTGGTCGATCTGGTGACTTCAGGCCAACTGATAGTGCCAAGCTCCGAGCTCGACTTGCTGACTTTCAATTCACTTTCGTGTTGAATTTGTGGGACCTCGCCCCAACATTGGTATCAGAGCTTGAGTTCAAAGGTTTCTGACGAAGACGAGATGTAGACCAGTGGCGTTGCTTATGACGGGGATATGTTCAAGCTAACTACATATATCTTTACATATTAGAGACCAATGATGCAAGACTATATGTACTGCAAAGACATGTATGAGCCCATCGTTCATGAAGAGATGCTTGAAGGAAAAATCGAGAAGGAAAAGGGCGTGGCCATGATTAGGAAGTACATTAACAAAAGTCTCTTTAAGCATGTGTCTGAGTTCATGAATGCGTACAAGTTATAGACGAAGCTGGAGTCCATGATTCAAAAGAAGACTCCTAGGATTAAGGCACACCTAGTTCGTCGACTTGAAAAGCTAGAATACAAGGATGTCATGAGTATGATTGAACACCTCAACACCTACAAAGGTATTGTAAATCAGTTTTCCAAAGCAGAGATGAAGGTTGATGAGGAGATGCAGGCTCTACTATTGTTGAGCTCGCTGCCAAAAAGCTGGGATACTCTGGTAGTTACTTTAAGTAACTCGACTCCTGATGGAAAGTTGACAATGGACGCCGTGACGGATAGCCTCCTGAATGAAGAATCCAGGAGAAGAGAATAAGGTGTAACCAGCACGTCTTAAATGAACGTTGCTGAGAATAGAGGAAGGTCCGATGTCCGGGGTCAAAGTAAGAGCTGCAGTTGTGACATACATGATAAGTCTAGAAATCGGTCTAGGCCAAAATATAAACTAAATGCTTCTACTATGGGAAGCCCAACCACAAGATGCCTGACTACAAGTTTCTTATCTTCTTACAGAAGCGTTGAGTTCGGAGTAGTGAAAATAAGAAATTAGGTGACAAGTAAAATTATTGGAGTCAATGATGTAACCCTGACCACGGATGTCAGGTGCCGACTTATGCTGAAGGATGTAAAGCATATGCTTGACATGCGATTGAACCTAGTCTTAGTAGGCAAGCTGGATGATACCAGGTTAGTGAACTATTTCAGAGGAAGTAGATGGAAATTGGCCAAGGAAAATTTGATCGTTTCCTGAGGCAAGAAAGAAGGCTCCTTATACGTGATGCAAGGGAAGATAAATGGTGGAGAAACCAACTCTATCCGAGATGGACCTAACATGGAGTTATGGTATAAGTGCCTTGACCACATGAGCGAAAAAACACTTCAGATCCTGAGCAAGAAAAGACTTATGGCTAGGTTGAAAGGCCAAGTGTTGGAGAGCTGCACGCATTGCCTAACTGGAAAGCAGTACCGGGTTTTGTTTGTAAGACTGGATCAGCCCAAACGATGCAGCTATATTCTTGACCTTGTACATACCAATGTATGCTCCATGTTAGATAAATCCCTTGGAGAAGCTTAGTATTTAATTTCTTTTATTGTTGTCCATTCCCACAAGTTATGGGTATATTTGTTAAAGTCAAAAGACAAGGTATTATAAGCCTTCAAAGAATTTCATGCTATGGTGGAAAAAGAGACTGGTAAGAAGCTGAAAGTGATATGATCTGACAATAATGGTGAGTAATGCGGCTCGTTCGATGCTTATTGTATAGCGGTCGGGATAAGACTAGAGAAGATTACCCCAAAGACTCTGCAGCTGAGTGAAGTTGCTGAAAGGATGAATCGGACTATAGAAGAAAGGGTCCAAAGTATGTTGCCCCATGTTGAGTTATCGAAATCATTCAGGGGAGAGACAGTTCACACTGCAGTTGACTTGATTAATCTATGACCATCATAGCCATTAGAAGGAGAAACTCCAGAAGAAGTTTGGACAGGTCAAAAAGCGAGTTATAATCACCTAAAGGTGTTGGGATGACAAGCTTTTGTGTATATCCCTAAAGATGAAAGGGCGAAGCTCAATGCAAAGATAAAAGAATGTATCTACTTCGATTGATCGAGATGCGAGTTTAGATTTTGACTTTGGGATCCAATCAACAAGAAATTACTAAGAAGCCAAGATGTAATCTTTCATGAAGACAAGACTATCAAAGACATCTCAAAGTCCAAAGTCCAGGTTATTGTCTGATGTGAAGAACCCGACCCTTCTATCCAAGCTGGAGCAGGAGAGAAAGAAACCAAGAAAATGATGTAAATGACTAGTAACAAGAACCAACTGTTGAAGTTGATGCTAAGGTCCGAGATGAGAATGATGAGCTAGACTCTCAAACTGAAAATCAACTCAGACACACTACACAAGTGAGACGACCTTCCATTAGGTACCCACCTGACGAGTACATTAATTTTGCTAAAGATGGAGAACCCCAAAGCTATGGTGAGGCCATGACGAGCTCAAATAAGAAAGAATGAGAGAAGGAAATGTAGGACGAGATGAAGTCCTTGAACGAAAATCAAACTTATGAGTTGATCGAGCTGCCTCAAGGAAGACGAGCTCTGAAAAATAAGTGGGTGTACAAAATTAAACATGAGGAGAATGGTTGGAAGCCGGGATACTAGGCCGGAATCGTAGTAAAATGATGTAATCAAAAGAAGAGAGTTGACTTTGAAGAAAAATTTTCTCCTGTTGCGAAGATGACTGTTGGGTTCAAAAGCTGTTGGGTGAAAAGTATATTATGATGAAAACGTTCCTCAGTTCACTAAGAAAGAACATAGTTGTTTTCTTAGTTCAACCCAAGTGCGCAAGTGCACGCATCTAGTTATAAATGGGAGAGATAATCGTTCCCACGAGGATAGAACTCTAATTAATGTCTTATACTGTTTTATAAAGAATGAAAATGAAAAGAAAAGTTAGTAATTGACCTGTTTGGTCAAACGTTCCTTACTGTCTTGACAATGTTCCTTAAAGACAGTATGTTCAATTAGACAGCAAATAGTTCATCGCTTCGTTATGTATGTTATCCTGCTTGTTTAGGGAAGGATCAAC